GGGTTTGGGGCTTTGGGTTTAGGGAATGGGCTTTAGGGATTTGGTGTTGGGGTTTTCAGTATTGCTTGTAGTATAACCCTACGGAATTTCTATGACGTGGTGTTTTGATTATAGGTGTGGGGGGAATACAGATTTTGGATCATGCAATACAGGGGAACACCCTACATCCAAAGTATAAAGGGCCGCAGTATGAGTATACCACATGAATAGCATAGTCAATAGGGCTACTCCCAATTATCCAGCAGCAGTTTGTTCAGAAATGTATTACAGTCCTCAACATGGAGTAAGATGCTGGTGCAGCTTCATGGTCGAATTTTCTCCCAAATGACCCAATTCTAAGTATTACGGACCCCTAGAAGTGCTCTGAATCCCCTGAATATTCAGAGCGTCCCTTCGTTCTCGTGTAAGTCATGGGTCCCTTTTGCGGTCCGAACCATGTGGCTGATGGTGTTACACAACTCTCGTAGCAGATCCGTTGCACAGGGACCCTCCCAACAAACACCTCTTTTGGTCCCAAAACCCGAGCCCACAAGCCATTGTCCAACAAACTTGCCAATTTCTAGAACATTTCAAGGTCGTTTTCCAAAATGGGGGTACCCGAATATAGACCCCCAAATGCTATCATCATCATCATCATCATCATCATCATCATTATTGGGAGCCCCAAGAAAACACACATATACTTGCAAGGAACTCCCATAACTCCATTAACAGGATCTAGGATTAGAAGTATGGGCTCCTAATATGGGTCCTTAGGCCTGTTCGGGGGATTCTTAGGGACCCTTAAAAGGTACGTAGTAGGTATACAAGGATCTGATGCCAGGGTTAAGGGCCATACTAGGGGCCCATGGTCTCAATCTTAACCCTAATCCCCTAAGCCGTAAACCCCTAAACTCTAAACCTCTTGGCTAAGGTTCGGGGCCCCAGGCGCACACTTCCTGACGCGACTCTTTGCCAACTCGCATCTGGCTGGCTCTTAGTACTTATCTGAGTTGTTTTTCAAGAACGTACATGAAGCTACCATAATAAGGGCATATGGTGAATTATCGGGTTTCCTTTTGATAGCAACTGAATGTAAGCCGCTTAGGCAGCAACCCCGTGAGTTGTGGCAATCAGGGAATTAAGGGCCTTACAGTAATCTGTAGAAATCCTTTGTCATAGGCTCTGAAGGCATGGGTCCTTATAGCAGGCTGTTTAGGATCAGCATGATAGGTTCTAAAGGCATGGATCTCCATAGTAGTCTGCCTTTCATCCCTTATTACAGCCCCTTATGATTTCTTACTCATCACAAATTTTCCCAAAACGCGATGCTTTAGGTTTTCGAGGGACAGGGGAAAACTTCAGGCAGCTGGTGGACATTTTGGGTCATTTCACTTCTCTAACCCCGAAGCGTTCTTTGTCCTGCTTAATTAGTCTGACAAGCATAATCTCGTTATACTAACATTCAATGCCCCCCACCCTCTCTCCACTCCGGAATACTCCATGTTATGTGTGGGTGGGTGTGTAATATGCGTATGAGGTGATTACATGGTTTTCACAGCTTGAACTTGAGAGCGCATGTTTTCTACGCAACCCTTGGGCTAGTGTTCTATATTGGGTGTACACTACTTTGAGAACCTTTCCGAAAGGTACAAGCTGGTTAGAGAAAAGGTTGAGGGTTTTGCCAGTTCCATTTTCGGCGATGGGACATTGATGCAGGGCTTAGATTATGAGGCCCTGGCCTTCAATGTCGATCAGGACACGGGGTCCCACCTATGAACAGGAGGGGTCTATGTCATGAATCGTGGGGCGTACGAATCCTAAATCCTAAACCAACCGTAGACCTTAGGAGGACCCCCCACCCTGTAATAGTGGTATAATAAGAATATAAGAGGACCCCAATATAATCCTTACTATCCCTTATAGCCACTATTACAGGGTGGGGGGTCCACCTAACATAGACCCTAGACCCTAGCCGAGGCATTTGGAGAAGCTGCACTGCCTAGAGGCTTTTGACATGGGCGATGCCTTTCGACAGCATTTCTTCCAACTCTGTAATCCAGAAACTGGGCTATCATTGATCAGGATTCTTGTGCTATTTACACGTGCTTGAAGTCTGCTAGGAGTATATGTGAAGAAGGAACATCTCAAAGTTGCGGGTGCGCTGTGATTCTGCCTCTTTTCTGTCCAAGGGTCAGCCCTAAGCTTGCACCCAGAAACCCCAAACCTAGATCGCTAAACTTTCGGGCAACTGCGGTCCGCCCAGGAAGTCCTTCAAAGAAGCTCAAAAACTGCAATCCTTCTGCATTTAGCCTTCACCCTTGAACCCAGGAAGGCGAGTATACCCTGAACATGGCAAGCCCTTACTACCGCGCCGTCTTGCGGCTGCTGCTGAAGATTTGCCGCAAGCTCAATCTGAGTGCCCCTTGGAGGAGGGAATACTTGGAGTTTCTGGAGTAGGGCAATTACCCAGTGATGTGTGGGCATGAGAAGGAGATGAAAGAGGTTCCTGTTTGAGGATTATGTAGAATTCATGATGAGAATCTCACACCTGAGGTTTTAGGGCTAGGGTTTGGGTTTCAACAGCCAGCGGTGGGTTCTTATAATACAGATGCCATGAATTTTCGAAGCAAGACCACCCTATGAACTCGGAGAGGAAGTTTGAAATCCCCCTCCGATTCTCCGGTCAGGGTGCTTCTTTAATCAATTTTAAAGAGGGGCACTGCTGTACTGGATGTTACGGTCTTGCAAAAGGCTGCGTAGGCCTTTATTTCCCTCAAAGGGGTGTTTAGGCTCCATGAATCACTCAGGTAAAGCAGGCCTTCTCGGACCTTACCTGCGAGGGCTGCGTGCTGACGGAGCAGCTGGGCGATTACGGCATCTACGAGGTGCCCAGGTGTCAGAGGAGGATTACCCATAAGGTGTTTAGGGTGTTGTTGTTTAGGATTCCAAGATCTGCGGGGTTCAGTATTTTGGTTTACGTCACAACACGTGTTCTACTTACTGTTACGAAATTAGAGATAAGATAGGTTCTTTGTAGTGTATTTGCCTCGGGTACAATTATACCTGCCGCAACATTCCCACACAGAGGATTTCGAAACTGTCCGTAGCCCGACAAGTGAAGCCTAGCCCTAAACCCTTACCCCTGAACCCTGAGGCCAAAGCGAGTTCAGTAACATCAAGCCCCCACCAAGCAGCCCAAGACTGCAAGCCCTGGTCACACATTTCATGGTCTTGCCTTCTTCAGCCCAGCCCAGCCCAAGACTTGACCTGTAAGCCCTAAACTCCAGACTCTACACCCTAAGCACTGGAGCTGCAGCCCTAAACCCTCAAGCCCTCAAACCCTACACCCTAAAACCCTACACCCTAAAGCCCTAAAACCCTAAAACCCTAAACCCTAACACCCTACAACCCTAAAACCCTAAACCCTAAACCATACCTTTCCCGGATATGGCCAGGTACCAACCTCGGGCCGCATGACCTTCGTCTTCAGCACGACCAAAGCTTCGGGGCCAGACGTTTACCAGGACAGGGCGGTTTAGGGTCTAGGGCTTAGGGTTTGGGTTTAGGGTTTAGGGGTTTAGGGTTTAGGGTTTCTCTACTTGACATGTGCAGTTACTATAATGGGTTACTATTATTCTGATTGTTATTCTTCTTTGTCTTTTTTTATTGTTATGTTTTTTTGACATCTGCAGTTACTACTATGGCAGTTACTATGGGTGACTGCTATTTATTGTTATGGGTTACTACTATTCTTATTGTTCTTCTTTTTCTCTTAGAACTATTGTTAGTCAGTAGCAATAATATTGTTACAATTGCGACTGTTTTGAACTTATTGGGCATATTGGGCTTGCATCTCCATGGAGTTGGGAAGCCTTTAAAAAGAGGACTTTGGCTAGCCCAACCCCCCAAACATTAGGACTCTATGATTCCCTGCGGTTCTGATTCCCCCAGATCCGGAAACATTGGCGTGGGGATTACCCGAAGCCTCTTATTTCCATAGCTTAAGAGTAACTTGCGAATTGCGGCTCGGGTTTTTGGTTGAGTTTGTCTGACGTTCAGGCTGCGCGGTTCAAGGATTTAGGGACTGGGGTTGAGGTAAGGGTTTGAGTTACACAGGATCAGTGCTTAAGGATTTGGGGTCGAGGAAAGTGAAAGGGTTCGCGGTTTGGTAGGGTGGATGCGGACACCTGCATGGTTTAGGGTTGAGGGGTTTAGGGGGTTTCAGGTTTAGGATTCGGGGTTTATTACCGACATGGCTAGGGTTCCAAACTGTATCCTGTTTGGAGAGGGTTTCTTTTCTGTCAGGCCAAATTTTGTCTGCTTGCTTGTGCAAAAAAAATCGTAACTCCTAAGCCCTCAGCTACTAGCCCCACAAGCTACACCCTAAATCCGAAACTCTCGCCCTAGCCTTAAGCCGTAAAACCTAACCTTAAACCCCAAACCTTTGGGTACAGCCCCCACCCAGTAACAGTCTATATTAGGGGTCCTATTAGGGGCTCTATATATATATATATCCATATTATAAATATTTATCCAACTGTTAGTGAGTGGGGGCAGTATCCAATCCAAACTTAATGCCCTAAACCTTAAATCCTAAACCCTAAACCCTAAACCATAAACCCTAAATCTTAAACCCTAAACCTTCAACCCCAAACTCAATACTCTGCTGTAGGAGTCCGTGGAGGGCATTGCTGAATCGCCTGGAGCTCAGCGATCAGCCCATCGCTCCTGTTTTTTTGGGGATTCTGCCCTCAATGACATTGTGGAATAGGGCTTGTAACAAGGGGTATATTCATGTATAAGTTTCTATATCTGTGAGTGCAGGCAGTACCTCATAGATTTCCACCGGTCTTCCCTACGCAGATGCGAAGATGCAAGATTATAGACCCTATAGACCCTGTGAAGCCATAAACCCCAAACCCTGAATCCTATTCAACACCCTCACAGCTCCGGACATCCCCTAACACGTAGAACCCTTAGATGGCCCTACATAAGCACCACATATTCCCATAGGAGCCAGAGTCTACACTTCTTAAAGGAGGTTTATATAAGGGATTATATAGAGGACACTTACAGTATAGGGTTATTAGGGGGATACTAGGAGTTTAGACTATGGCTCACAAAAACCCTATGTAGTTTCCCGAAATCCCCAATATAGACCCCCAAAATACTCTAGTCCGTATTATGGGGACCCCTGAAAGGTACCCCTAATTTTGGCAAACTACCATGTATACCACCCCAGTAGCCCCTTATCTAACCCCAATATAGACATCCTGGCTCATATAAACCCTAAACCCTAAACCCTAAAACCCTAAAAACCTAAAACCCTAAAACCCCAAAACCCTAAAACCCTAAAAACCCTAAAACCCTAAAACCCTAAAACCCTAAAACCCTAAAACCCCAAAACCCCAAAACCCTAAAACCCTACCTAAAAC